ATATAAATTATTGTCTATATCTAAAACATTAATGTAGGCGATAAATACAGTGAAACTCCATTTGATTATAAAGAAAATATTTTAGTGCATCAAAATCGGCTAGTACCGTAGAGCAATTAAAAATTGATCAATTGATCATTTCATCTTCCGCCAGCTATAGATGTACTTTATGCATCGGTATGCATTGTAGATCCTTGCGTATTTGTTCAAACAATACACTGCTTCGTTCCATAATGACGTTCGACCGTTTAGTACTTTTCAAATCAAAATTGAAGGCAAGTTTAAGATAGAACGGGACAAAAATGATACTAAAACTGTTCAATGACACTCACACGCACACTCTGATCGATGTAGCAACAAAACATGACTAAACGGGGACCGGTAAACCAATTCCGTGAACCGATTGTCATTTAAATGACTGATGTTGTTGTCTTACTGGTGTTTCGTACACTAATGTATTATTTCACTGGTACTTAAACCATGAAAAATATGCTGTATCGGTCGATCTGTCTGACCTGGCTTGACGACACCCTTTTAGTACAGAATGTATGTCAAATTAATAAAAGACCATAACATAAAATCCACATTCAACTGTTGTCACGAGAAATGTAGAATTAGGGACCACCATCTCATTTATCCACTTCCCTGAACGGACAAGCCTCTAATTGAGTGCTCTGCGGTTTGTATGCTCTGGTTTTGTAGCCAGTGTTCCGTTTTCCAATTGTTAATTTTCCCCCAAACTACTGAATTGACCACAGATCCCCCACGAAAAGTAATCGCACTTTAGATGAATATTACACCCATCGAAATCGAAAATTATCGTTGTCATTATGATAATTATTAAAATTGCTTTGGTGTTGAATGAATGAGCTATTGGTGATTAAATGAACAACAGACGGGCAAAATTGGACGGGCTTACAGATGACTTGACCGAGAAAACTGATGCACCTTCGATCAGGCGTTTTTCTTTTGATAGATGCTGGGTTTAAGCTAGGGATTTATTTAGCTGATATTCCAACTTTGATCCATAATTCTGGTCCGAGAGGCATTTACATTTCTGTGCTCGCGAAAAACCGAATCACCTTACCCCGTTCCCCTAAAAACGAAAGACAAGCTAGAGAGCAAAAGTTGACTTGTTGGTTAGTTAATAAGTTCATCCGCGAAACAGTTGCGTGAGTATGGACAGAAACACTTTCCAGATATATTCTGCATTCAAGTTACACACTAATTTAACGCGCCGAAGATTACTATAAGTTATTATTCCAAATTGTCCCAATGTGTATCTGTTTGTTTTTCAATACTTCTGTCCTATATGTATAAATATATGAACAAAATCTTCAGCATAAAACATCGCTATTACTCTCAGGCTGTCAGGATGCCAGCCGTGTATCAGAAGATTCATATGTATTAAGGCTAAGTCGGTAATAAAACAAAGTTAAGGACTCTCATTGAAGAAAAAACCCGTTCTGCACCCGAAAATTCCGGTGGACTTTTGAAGTCGCTGTTTTATTTGGTGAGTTTATGCCCACTCGGTTAGTCAAATGACCTTTCTATGTTGCGAAGCGAGATACTATGTGGAAAATTTACTGTGACAATAATTTATTTTACAATTTCCATATAATTCATCAGTCAAATATAGATTAACACAAATATTCAAAACCCTTGAATCATATCCATATTGATTCTTTGTTGGAGGAAGGTCTTTAGACAACTATTGTGTTCATGTTCTTTGAAGTTCATACAAACAAATAGGTACAACTGTTAGAGGTATAAATTAAAAGTAATACACCAGATAGTTTTGGGAAAAAATAATTTAAACCTCATTGTCCGTTTAAACTATAAACTTTTTCCCTAATCACGTTCTAGCTAACAAGGTTGCTGATGAACTATGTAAAACTACTGAAAAGTATTCTGGTCTCAAAAAGAGATATCATATTCTGAAAAGGAAGATTGTTCATATCATTTTTCAGTTTAAAACGATTTTTGACTGTAAATTTCCATTAAAGTGATGCAAGGTTTCAAGACAGGAGATCCTGTGCGAAAACTTTTTGACATCATTTCTGTGGTTGCAGTCAAGACGTCCGTCCCAGATCAAGGTAATCACATTTATTTCCTGAAGCACCCGTTTAAGTGAGCGTAATCTGAGTTCTTCATCCAGCCATTTTTATCTCAAAGTCGATTTTTAAACTTTTATTTCTACTGATCAAGTGTGGAGATTAGTTTGGTGTTGTTTCGTTTACTTAAAGGGGGGAGGGGGTATTTGTGTCTCCGTGACCCGTTGCGATTCATCTACGGAGATGAAAAGTTGTCGATTAAGTGCGGATTATCCACCGAAAGCCTGGTTCGTGTTTTATATATAT